CTGTTTACAGTGTTTTATCAAAAAATGGGCAAAGCTTTTTCATTTTTACTAAAAATCTGATTCTGCACAACAACTAAACCTTGGATAACCTCCCACCCGGACTCCCACCTCACTGAGTGTTGAGGAGTTTTCAGCATGTCTCTCACCTGCTCCTCTGTCTGTGACTCAGAGAGGAAGTGGTCTTCACAGCTTCCAGCACGACATGTGCTGACAAAACTTACAGGAAAGTTTTTCTACAGATGTTTTTATGATCGCTGGAAACCCAAATCGTTATCGAGATCAAAATTCGATTAATCGCCCAGCCCTAATTTTAGTTATAATAACTCTGTTCCAGATGAGATTTAACAACTCCAGATTGGATAGTAAACTGTTTTTTAGAATAAAACAATGAAAACAAAGTGGAGTTTATTCACTGTACTGCTTTTAAACTCTTTGGTAACTAGATTCACAACAATAACGATGAAAGAGGCTGTGAATTTTCTTATGAATAAACCAAAAGTGGTGCCTCATGTTTTATGTAACGTTAAACTCCAGCTTGGTTTATTCTGTCTCACCTGTCCTGTTGTGTGTCCCCGTGTCTCCGTTCTGTCTCACCTGTCCTGTTGTGTGTCCCCGTGTCTCCGTTCTGTCTCACCTGTCCTGTTGTGTGTCCCCGTGTCTCCGTTCCGTCTCACCTGTTCTGTTGTGTGTCCCCGTGTCTCCGTTCTGTCTCACCTGTCCTGTTGTGTGTCTGTGTCTCCGTTCTGTCTCACCTGTCCTGTTGTTTGTCCCCGTGTCTCCGTTCTGTCTCACCTGTCCTGTTGTGTGTCTGTGTCTCCGTTCTGTCTCACCTGTCCTGTTGTGTGTCCCCGTGTCTCTGTTCTGTCTCACCTGTCCTGTTGTGTGTCCCCGTGTCTCCGTTCTGTCTCACCTGTCCTGTTYYGTTGTGTGTCCCCGTGTCTCCGTTCTGTCTCACCTGTCCTGTTGTGTGTCCCCGTGTCTCCGTTCTGAACCAGCTGGCTGCTGGAGTCTGAGCCCCGGCCTGGGTTAAAGGAGGTGGTGGGTCGAGCAGACGGGGCGTCAGGAATCAAGCTGAAGGCACTGCTGATCTGAAGACCGTTCTCCTCTGGGTGGTCTTCATCAGCCTAAACACAGAAAGTTAGAGTTTTTACTTTGCCCATCATGTAGGTGAAAAAGACTTGCTGCTAATAGCCTATATGCCACGGTCATTAATGACGTATTTCTGGTAAAATTCTTGCCACGCTCCTCCCTTCCACTTCCTGTTTACTGCCTTTGTTTTTAGTGTAAGCTATTAATTACAAGTCTGTGAAAAAGTCACAAAAGTTAAAGCATCTGTGATCTACTGGTATAAAACGTGAGTTCTGTTGTGTGTTGTTGTGTTCACTAACCAGCAGGTACGATCGAGTAGTTAGTTTTTATCCTTTTTCCTCTTGATGAGGAGGAAAGGTGACAGCAGAAGATCATAGCATTACAGGGAAAACTTATCTTTAAAAGGTCACGTTTGTGTTTGTAATCAGCATTTCTAACCTGAGGATATTCAAGAGTCAGCATCAGAAATGAGAAGACGGAGGTTACAAAAGAGAAATGTACATTTGTCCCCTTTTACTGCCAACGTCGGGGAAAATGATCCAAACCATACAAGTAGCCCATCAATTTAAAGCCCAGACTCTGCTCTTTCCAACAATATAAG